GTGGCATGTTCGTATGAACCCTTAATACGAACAAAAGTAAGAGAAATTTAGGATAAGAATACGAACATGTTCTTGCATGAGGCCCAATGCTCTCAAATGAGCTGACAGCAGGCACACATACAGGTAAAACTTTCCTGTTCTCGCGATGAATTATCGTGAGACCACCCCCGCGACCAGAGTTACGGGTTGAGAAATGTAAACAAAGCCAAGTGGAGTGGAGTCGTTGAGTTGTGAAAAATCCAGAGGTTGTTGCTAAGTTTCGGTAAACAGAGAAAGTCAAGCTTATGGTCGGTGAGGAGATCCTGGATGAGATGTTCTTTGTTTGTGAGAGAACGAATGTTGAGCAGACCACAGTTGACAGAGGTGGAGTTAACAGACGGGTTAGCTGACCTGGCTAGGCTAGATAGCATGTTGAGATCTGCAGAATGGGTGGCATTCCTGGCAGGACAACGGTTGGTGGTCCAGATCGGATGGATGGGTTTAGACCTGTCAAGCTGGAAATTCTGACGGGACCCACGGTGGATGTATCTCCGGCAAGGCAGGAAAGCAACATCTGGGTGGAGATGCAGCATCACTGGCAGAGTGCATGCAGGGCAGGTGCTAGCCTGGTCCTTGCCTTCCTACGCAGCTCCGCTCAATTCTAGTTTCCCTTCACTGCTCCGTCTGGGACTTCTCCCATTTAGATGGATTTCGCTGGCAGATTTTTAGCCAGGCCAATCAGACAAGAGAATGTCAATTTTCTGCGCAGTGTCTCTTCTAGTTTATTTTACCTGGGCCAATCAGCAAACAGAAGGTGGAGTTTTGAATGACGTCAATCTGCGCAGTGTCTCCTAGTTATTTTAGCTAACGGCAGTGGAGGAAGTGAATGAAGCCAGTCCATGTTGATAAGGCTTCCAAATTAAATTAAATTTGTCTTACAAAGCAGCAGCTCTCATTTACAGCCATCTCGTTTGGCTCGGTACTTTTCTCCTCTCAGTAGGGTTGTTTTACAGCACACGTGATTTCCGGTTAGCTTCTTAGCTTAGCCTCCTTCACAATGGCTGTGTCCAAAACGGCAGGGCGGGTCCTCTGAAGGCCGAATTCGTCGGCCGCATACGTCACAGCCCCGCGACGAAGGACGTCCAAAACCGAAGACTCCTCCGATGCGGCCGACAAATATGTCTTTCCTTTTCCCCAATTTGAAGGACAGCTCTGATGGATCCTTCCCGGCCCAGCATATCCCATAATGCATTGCGGCCCAATCGGAGATTTGTTTAAGGTAGTAATGGCGGACGAAGCGAGAGAAAAGAATACGTTTTAAATAAAAATATGGTGATATGAAAATTTTAAAAAAAATTAGCGGTTGTAATTCTAATACTTTTATCATTTGTATAGACATGTTTTTAAATATTATTTTTATCATAAAAAAACGCGAAATAAACATGCACCTACAGTGGGTCATTTAGTTCTTCAAATGTTACCTTTAAGTTAATTTTATAGTTTTGTGATATTAATAACGCTAATATATTGATAATTTTCTAGTTTTGATTTAAGTTTGCTTGTTTAGCGTCGTCACAGTTGCTAGGTGACATGACGTACGCCGGGGTAAGGAGGGGAGGCTAGACCATCCAAATTCACAGCCTCTTTTTTTCCGGTCTTCCCGGTCTACCAAGGACCCGGCCCGCCGCGACCGGGGAGTCTGGGTCCTCCGGAGGACCCGGCCTGTCGTTTTGGACATAGCCACTGACAACACACACATGCTTCAGCAGATGCCACGCCTCCTGCAAGAAATCAATTGCAGCAAGTCCAGACCCTTGTACGAAGCAAATTGAAGGACAGGGTCTGGTTTAAACCAGGCTAGGCAGGTGCCAACGCAGTCGAAGAAGCTTGTCAGATGAATATCGTAAAATACCTGATGCAGATTTAATGAGGAGTGGCAGGATAGTCCATACAAGCAAAAACCAGATGAGGAGGCGGGGCAAGATGGCGGAGGAGTGAGACGTGTGTCGCGTGGCTCCCGCTCCGACTTGTTCTGTTTGTGGTTCTACTAAATGTCCTTGCTGTTTTGAACATTTGGTCCGTCCGCAAGTGATTCTTGCCTGGAAGAGTAGAAAAATGGCGACAAACTCGAGGAAAAGCAAACATTCTAGCTCGACGGCTGCTAGGACTGACGCCGCCCCGGAGCAGACTGCAGCTAAAGC